TTTTTACATGATTCGCAATGATAACAGTTCAAATGTATTTTACCAAATCACGCAATAAACACGTTGTTTTTTTCTTGAGTAGCGTGAACTGATCGTGAACTCCGATTTGACCATGTTATATCGAGGTGGAATTGATTTTGAAATAATTTTAGCTTTAAATCTAAAGACTGTGTCTATCGCAGAAAGTATTTACTTACAAACAAAGAGGTGCTAATTCCACAAATTTGACTAGCCGCTACGTATCGTGCGACTAGGTCTATTGTTTATAAATTATAATCCACGACTGGCAGGATGCGTGTCGGTCGGTACTTAATTATACCAACAATCAGACAATAGTCCTCGTCGGAAGCATTTCCGTGGTGGTCACTAATTTTGAGTGACGGTCGGGGCCGACCGGCGTGGCGAACAAAGCTTTTTCACATCTGATATTGGCATGTTAAATATGAAATCAAGCGCCGAGGTGGGAACACGTAGCGCCGAGGTCCCAAGTGAAGCGCCGAGATTCACAGGTATAGCGCCGCGGACCTCAGCGCTAAAAAGCCCTGGGGAGAACCCTGACAGTGTTTATATCATGGCCTGATCTTTAAAATAAAAAACATCAGCTTCTCATCAATGCTTGTAAAAAATGGTTCAATGTTCAATTGAAGAAGTGTCGTGTTCGGCATACTTTTATTATCATTTTGATGTTATCAGGATACCAAAAATGAAAAAAAAATCTAGATATGAATTTGTTGTTGAAATCTGTGTACATTAATTGTCTTTAAATACATTAATTTTTAGCTGATACAGATACTAATTTCTCAAAAAAATATTTAACGAGTTTAATTGTAGCTTGGTTCATCAATGATATGGAATACTCAAACAATAGATATACAATCAAATTCATTACATTTGTTAAAACATTTCTCCTGTAGTTAGTATTATCCACATCAATTCTGTGAATTACTTTGAACATCTTACAGAGGCTTTTTTATAGGCTATTCTTAAATTTGTAATTACTTACTGTATTTCAAAAACTAGAACTAAATCTCGATCATGCCTGGGCAAATTACATTCAAACTTCACACGCACACACCCACGTGTACATGAACACGTGCACAAATACACACATGCGCAAGAATGCATCAAAATCTACCATTCGCAGCCGGATTATTTCATTCAAATTTGTTCCATACTTAGATCATTTTTGTTTTAATGAAGGCTGACATGCCTTGACTGATCATGTTACATGTGTACATCATGTCACACATGTATTTATTTCACAATTTAACTCAAAATGGCCGTTTGGCAGCCGTTTTAGGACTCAAAATACAGAATTAATGAATCGCACATGCGTACTAGCTCATACAAGTGTCAGTCATACCTACCAGCAAGAATGTCTCCCTGAGATGTAATCTACTATCGTAGTAACCACGCCAATTGACACATTTGCAATTGCATGATTTTTGTTTTTCTTTCACCCATAATTCTTTTTTCTTTGGG